ACCCTAAACCCCTAAACCTCGCCTGGCTTGTCCGAGTTGTGAGAGTGTAAACCCCTAAACCCTAAACCCTAAACCCCCGGGCCCTGGCGAGTATGACCCGATCCTCTTTGCAAGCTCTTCCTCGTCGCAGGTCAGCCGGCAAACTCCGAAGCTCCTTGGCTCTTTACCAGGTTTTGCAGCATATGGGGGTTTCCGAAAATAGGGGACCCCAATATGGTACCCTAAATAATAGGATCCCTACTATAAGGACCCCAAAATAAGGTCCCCTAATTTCTAAAACCCCCATATCAGTTGTTGGGGTGTAGGGGTCTGAGGCTTTCGGTTTTGGGCGTTGGGAGTTTCGGGCTGCGCAGGGGCGGGTTTGGTTTGCGTCTTTAGAAAGGTTCTAGCGTTGAGGAAATTCGAACTTCCGTAAGTTCGTCTATAGTCCGAAAGATCTCAGCAGTGCACACCAAGCCATCCCGCAGACTCACCGATCGGATACACAGGGATGTTCCTTTTGTCGGGAAATTGCTCGGAGTGTCACGCCATTAGCAGATTCTTTGGCCCTAAGTTGTCCACAGAGCCCGTATCATCACCCACCCACCCTTTTGAACTTAAGCTATGAAGAGCCTTTTCCCTCTTGGATCCACAGGTAGGCTTAATTAATCAAACGTCGGAGTGACAGTGCTGAGCCCTGGCGCCCAGATCCCCAAGCCCTACAGATCCTCATGCACTCCGGCCACTGCTTAAACCCCCCAACCCCTCCGCCATTGTCAGAATGAATCCTTCGTGCAGAGATCCTATAGGCTTGGTTTCGCACGTGGGGTTCAGGGTTTACATCTAAGGTTAAGGGTTTCAGGTGTAGGGTTTCTGAGATGTGGAATGCGAACTACTCAACAAGCCGCACAAGGACACTAAATTTGAGGAAATCCGCCACAGGACATGGCCAGAAATGCCCAGTACGCCATGAACAACTTCACCTCCATGGTTCGACGCTCCGCAGCGCACAGAAGAGAGAAGCAAAGCGGACGCCCTGAGTTGAAGTTTTTCAAAGGAGGTGCATGGGTGCAGCCGTTGGCTGGGAGTCTACTGTGTTGTAGGGAGGAGGCGACATTTTTTGGCACATGTGAGACTGTGTGTGTGTGTGTGTGTCTTGGGGTTTGGAGGGATGTTTCAAGATCTTTCGGTCTCCACAGAAAAGCCGGCTAGCAGGGGCCCGACACGCCCTAAAGGTTTCCAAAGCGAACGAGGAAGCTGAGGGAGTCGAGGGAGCTAGGATTCGACCATATAGCCCTGTACCCTGCCAGCTACCCGAGTTTCCGGAGGCGGTTCTGCTAGCTTCTGTCTTGAGCGACACCTTCAGCCAAATGAAGTGTTGACTGCTTGAACCTCCAAGGGTGACTTAGTCTGGTCATGTCCTGATGAAGTTATGCAGACGGTACCCAATCATCCTAATGCACCGTGGGGCTTCAATCAGAGCGATCCGAGAAAGTCATCGATGGGTCCATTCCTGCATGGACTGATTGGCTTTCTCTATCTGAGAAGAGCGTGAGCCCCAGCACATCAAACCGGAGGGATAGAGTCATCGTGAGGGCTCAGAGGCAGAGCCGGTCGTTATGCGTAAAACAGACTGACATACTTGAGTAGCTCGAACTCCTTGTCTCCAAACCCCAGCAATGTTAATGAGATGAAGCATGAAGAGAAGTTGTCTTAGCCGAGGACAAGGTGAGCAGAGCTTGGGCACCTTGCATTGCAAAGGCTGAAGGGTGAAGGACTTGGTGCAAGAGGCAGGACTCAGGATTTAGAGTTTAAGGCTTCAGATTTGTAGATCTGGCAGCGGCGAAGCCCTACCCGAAACCCCGAAACAGCGCCGACACCCCGAAACAACCATAAACCCTCTGGTGTTCAGGTGGGCTCCCAGCCCAAGCCAAAATCTGAGCTACAAGCACCAACTTCTAGAGCTTGAGTTTGCCGAGTCTTCGACGCCGCAGCCCATCACCTCAACCCCAAGCTCCAATCCCGGATATGGTTTTGCACACTTCAGGTTCCGGGTCCTTTGGAGGTGTTCGGTCTCAGGGTTCAGGGCATGGTTAGTCCGGGCATTACGCTTTGTTTGAGGCTTCTTTGTTGACTGTGTAGGCCTTGCTGGTGATGTCTTTCGTAAGAGCTCCCCCTGCCTTTACCCCCCACGTCCAAGCAGCCGAGGCAAGATCTTTAAGCCAAACCCGCTCCTTGCTTGCATAATTGTGGATGGGGGATGATTGGGATCAGAACTCGTCAGCTGTAGTGGCTCAAGGCTTGTGCCGGAGTGAGCCTAGGGCATTCCTCCTAGAATTTGTGAGCTTCGCTCCCGGCAGCCAACTCGTCAGATGTGTGTCTACGACGACAATCACGTTTCGGACATAAGCCAGGACCACCTCCACGTAGAGAGATAGTCGGGCTCTAACTCCCAAGTCCCTCCCCGAGCCCGAAGCAAGCCTCGCAGCCGACATCCTCAGGCAGGCTCCGAACCCCTTCCAGGACGTCTTCAAGAATCCTTTCGAGAAGGCGAAGCCAGCCACTAATCCCTTAGAGGCGATCGGCAACATGTGCCCAGCCAGCAGTCAGAATCCTCTCTACCGCTCTGGGAGCTAACCAAGACCGTGACCTGCGTCGTGGGGTAAAAAAGTGATATCGCGAGTTGTAGTCAGGGCCCTACAGCAAGAAATTCTTCTAATTTATGACCAGGAGCTGCCTCTTAGGGCCTCGGAATCTCAAGCATCATAGAAACTCCACGCCAAACATCTCCAGAGAGCCCTAGGCCCTACAGCTTAAACCCTATATTCTACTATATATATATATATATAAGGAGCCACTCAAAAAAGTATAGGTTATGATTAGAATCAGACCCTCCCTGCTTGACTTCCGAGGCTGCCGGGGGCCCAGCCCGCCGCTTCCCCGAGCCCTCAGCCGGGGGTTTTCCAGTGACAACGACTTCCCAGAAAGCTCAGTGCAACCCTTTTAAAGCGTAGGGATGGGCCCCTTACTCAAGGGCGCGTTAAGTTGAGGGGTTAGGGATGGACCCCTTAATGAAGGACTTCACTGCGTTTAGTGTATAGCGATGTACGAAGGACTCTCTAGGGTTCAGGGTGTGGGGATGGGCCCGTTATTGAGGGACTCTAAGGCATTTACGATACAGGGATGTGCCGGATGTACCCCTTGATGTAGGGCTGGGATGGACCCCTTGATGAAGGAGTCTAAAGCGTTTAGGGTTTAGGGATGTACCCGGTGAGGGTTGCATGGGCGCTGGCCGGCACCTCAGTCCGTGCTGAAAGGGATGTACCCCTTGGCGAGGGGCTTAAAAGGTTGGTTTAGGGATGTGCACCTTAATGAAGGACTCTTTAAGGTTTAGAGGGTGTAGGGATGGGCTGCTCAACGAAGGACTTAAAAAGGGTCGCTTTAGGGCTTGAGGATGGAGCCCTTCCATGATGGACTCCACATGTAGACTCGAAACAGGTTTAGGGAATGGGGCCTTTAATGAAGGATAGCGGCGCTTAGGAGCGTTCTCCCAGGTTTTCAGGAGGCTGGCCCTTCTTCAAGGAAGACACAGCCTTAATTGTGGCATATACCAGCCCTAGAAAGTTTGAGATATGTCCGCTAATTACGGTGGCATCGGGCTTTGTGATTTGCGGGCAACTACTGCCCAGTGGTGCCTGACCCACGGCCTTTTCCAGCAGCTCTTCGGGGGTGTATAGTGGAGTGACGATGATGCGTGGCATGACTGATATTATGTTATCCTATTTTGTATTTTGTATGATATGGTATGAAATTATGTCACATGATATGTTATTATCTTATATTCTATAAGTTACTACTAGAAGGCCTACAAAGGCCGCAACTTCAGTACGGCTGGAGCACTGCGAGCATCCCCGAGGGCCTCTGAAGCGGAGTCGAGGGTCTTCCTTCGTCTGCGGGTGCAGGGGATCCGTCTGTATAAAGTATACATACTGGCTGGCATATTCGCGGCTAAGAGAGGGGAGAGAGAGATGGAGAGAGAGAGAGAGATATATATATATATATATAATTATAATTATAATTATATATATATATATAATATACATAGATAATCATAGATAGATATGTGCAGGAAGCGCCTCTTGCATAAGGGGCGGTAAGTGCAGGCGTCCATCTCTGCATTCTCACGCAGTGTCCGTTGAGTCACGTGCGGATCTAGAGCAGACGGGGTTGAACAAGTCCAACGAGAACGTGGACGCAAGGGTTCCGCGGCAATCCGGTTTAGGACCTCTGGTGTTCAGGTTGATTTCCTGGCCGGGCGAGGGCCTATCACCCAATGACGAATGAAGAAACCTCACCGGGAGAAAGACTGTACAGAGTGGGCCGGCAGCTGAGATGAACCACATCCCGATCAATTCCCTGCTTTCCATAGGTCAGCATTGAATTTCCCGCATGTGTGGGCCCTAAAGCAAACACCTTGCATGATTGTGCCAGCACATCGTCAGAAACGAGTTAGACTGCTGCATACGCACTGCACAGTGCTTCGGTGTCCTTCGCTCCTTTTTCGGGCCTGCCTGGCGGCTCCGGACTTAGGATTCAGTTTGCCACCAGGATGTAGCTATGGTATTGGAATGGAAGGAGAAAAAGCAAATCTAAGGCATCCTGTTGTGCTTATGAAGTCTTCGAGGTCTTTCATGAACAAACCCTGGCGCTCCTTTTACAGGGGGTAGGTCTTACTACCATCCTTTGCTGGTTTCATGTAGGTTTGCTGCCTGTGACTACCAGAAGCCACCTTGAAGGGACAAGGATGCACCAAACCCTAAACCCTAAACCCTAAACCCCTAAGCGGGTCGATGGCACGTGGTTCCGGCATCCTGGCCTGCTTGAATTCCGATCTTAGCATGCGGCAAAGGCTGGAAAAAGATGTGTCGCAGCAGTTCCAGTGTAGGGTTTATACAGAATGTTATAATTCGTTTGAGCACGCAGGACGATACATAGGCCCGGTCTTTAGTCTAGTTGTCCGCAAGTGCTACACGCATCTTTCCGAAATTTGTGAATGTGATGCTGCTGCAGACGGCAACGTGGCCACTCAAGGTACCAGCATAATTCCATTTGTTCGGAGCTGTTTGTATTCGGACCACGAGATTTTGAGAATGGCCCCCACGGCTCGTCCTTGAAACACCTGCATCAGCACCCTAAGCCAAAAAAAAAACGCCCAAGCCCTGGAACACCATGCGTCTGCTCGCGCATCCGATTTCGTGATCCGCCTTCGCCACGGAAGCCTCGGCCTGGGAAAGACATCAGAGGGGCTTCAAGAAACAAGGGTGCCTTTTTTTGAGGGGTTTTTGTGGTAATCCTTTAAGGTCCCTATGAACGTGGGGCTTCTGTTAGTGTCCCATAATTACTCTCGGAAGCCCACTCATGTAGTCTTGGGATACTGGAAGTTCGCACCGCCGTGAGCCCGACAGCAGTGTTTATCCGAACTGGGATGGTCAGTCGATCCGCACAGTGTGTGCAGATGAACCCTGAATCCCTAAACCGGGGTCATCGGAGGGAAGTTCTTGAGGCATGCAGACCGCGAGGGTTTGGGGGTTCTCTGGCATCTGCGTGTTGCTGGAAAAGGCATGTCAGAGGCGCAGCAGACGACAGCAACATAGAAGTACCCTAAACCCTAAACCCTAAACCCTAAACCCTAAACCCTAAGTGATTGCCGGAGGTTCGACTACGCTCGGGAGCTTTGGGTTCGGGGAAAGCGAGTTCAGACCCGGGGCCAGAAGCCGAAGAGTGAATTAGGGTTCAGGGTTTATAGGGTTT